TTTTGTTTTTTTTTTTTGTTTTGTTTTTTTTTTAAACAGTTCACAAACAATAATGTCACATACAAATGATGTTACTGTCAATTCATATTTATGCTCACTGGAGTTGTAGCAGGTTGTTGCACTAGAGTAGATTTCTATTTTCGCACCACACGTAAATTATTATAAAATATGCAAACCGTCATTCTCTCCGTCTCTCTTTAGGCGGAGAGCCGAAATCCCATAAACAAAAATTGATACGCTCTAAAAAGAGGACGTACTCTATTGTAATATATACATATGTTTTAAACATTCTTTTCATGGACAGTACGATGGCCTTCTTTATATACATACACGCATATATAAAAATTCGCATAATTTATAAAATGCAACACGCAATGTAATAGATCTACTGCTCCCCGGTTACTGTAAAAATCGATAAACGCTGCAATTACACGTTGAAACATTTATTCCCATTTTTAGTCTGTGTGAAACATCGAAATTACTGTCTGTTCATCGAAATTATTGATTGTATGTAAAATTCGTTCATCCATTTATGTGTTTCTTAACTTATTATTCAAGAATGCACGCGATGTTCAATAATTGTTTTTTCTTTTTTTTTTTATTTTTATTTTCTTTTCCTTGCGCCTTCAACGAAACATGCGAAGACACAGTGCAACATTAATTTGACATATACATATATACATATATGTATATATATATAAATAACAATTTGTTTGCTATTTGTTCCTAAGCATTAATCAAACGCTTCATTAATTGATCGTAAAAACAGTTTTGTACTCGAGCGTAACGCAAAAATCTCTATTGTATCTATCTACAAAGTATATTTATACATTACAGATATATACGTGCATATATATACATATACATTTGTGAATCTTCAAACTTTACACATAACGTGTGACTTAAATATTTGGTGAATGATTTAAAGCTTAGGAACAATGCCTTTTTGAGAGATCGCGATTTATAATCCATAAAACACGCTTGCAGTATATATATATATATATATACTGTAAAAAAATCGCATAATCAAGTTTTTAAAAAAGCAGACAGTAATCCATCTCTTATTCAATTCTTTATCACATGACACACATTCAAGATCAACAAGAGTATTTTAAATCTGACGTTCTGAACACGTTTGTTTATATTAGGTTCTTAATATTAATATACATATATATATATATATATATATATATATATATATATATATATACATACTTGTATACTATTTTATCGGGCGATCACTTGAGAAAGAATGCGAATGATTTTTATTAGCTATCATAAATACTTGTAGATATCGGAGTTTTTCCAAAGTCGAATATTTTATCGTTAAAATAACGCAATACGAGAGAAAAGAAACAACAAGTCCACTTTTATAGCGTTTTCTCATTGATCAATATAAATAATAATCTTAATAGTGTCGCGAGAAAACTCTCTACACGTATTGGTTTGCTCCCTCTTCTCTGATCTGTCTTCTTCCATCGCGCATAAAAAACATCAATTTGCGAATTAATCCTACGTAACTGAATGTTTAATCGACATCGCAATTGTCACACGATGAGATGAGAAAACAAAAATGACACGCTATAAAAAAAATCCAATACGGTAGAAACAAATAAACGTCATAATTAATATTAATCATGCAAAACAATCCCAAAGCAAAGAAAAAAAAAAGCTCATAGTACTATTGCAAAAAACAAAAAAAAAACAAAAAAAAAAAAAAAACTAAGGATATTATAATCACTAGGTTTAGTCGACTTAACTTCGATTATCTTTCACCTGTTCTACGCTCAAGTATATAATATATATATGATCGAAATCCTGAGCATTAAATCAAGTATTAAACTATCGGAATACGAATTTGTAGTCGGCTAGATTTTAAGCTTGACTAGTGCCTCTTAAGAAATACTCCTAGAAATTAAAAATGATCTAGTTAAACTTGCAAAATAAAAACTTTTATTTACGAGATTCTTCTGTGTTATTTTTCGTCTGATAAACGGATACTCCTTTTTTTTTTGTTTTCATACAAATCTACATTTTGTTCATTAAAAACAAATGTTTTGTTTTGTACAATTATAGTGCGTGTGCGTGTGTGTGTGTGTGTGAGCTATAAATAATAATGCACGTGTTTTGCTGAGATAATAATTTTTTTTATTTCCGTTTTGTAAATTTTTTTTCCAGTAAAATGGTAAACCAATTAAAAATCTCGCAGCGCATCATTAGGCAAAACTTATTATACAGGTATATTTCACCTAAAGATACATGTGTATGTATACAAGCTGTGTGTACAGTAACAAATATCAAATAAGAAAATCTTGTTAAAACTAACAATAAATAAGATCATTTTAACTTTGCACCAATATATATAACATATAACATACAATATATACTTATGTATACGATGTACGGAGGAGAGTGCGCCATATCGTGCGGGTCCAAGGAAAGATATTTCTTGGAAATGTTTCTTCTAGCTGCTCCTGTTATCGCACGCCGTGTTCTTCGGTCTTCGGCCAGCGGCCCGAAATCGTGTGGGAAATAGCCGGAGGAGAAATTTTTCCGAGAAATACTTCCGCGCGATATAGTGCACTCCTCTCTGTATGTATGTATCAGATACATTGTATCTATACATATAATAACATTTGTTAAATTTTCAATTTCTTTGTTGATGTTGCATCGTTAATCTTGCTATCTCGTTACCTAATGTATCGATATTGTCCTGTAAAAAGAAGAAAACTTAACATATAGATATTAACATATAGATGTGTATCTTTCGGCAACAGAGAGAGAGAGAGTGTTTAGTTTTACCATGAATTACTGTTATGATTATTTTTTCTTATTTTTTAACGTTCATAAAATTCACCTTTAGAGTAATGTTTTTTAATAACGCATCTTCAAGAACCGCTTGTAATTTTTGGTTTATTTCCAAAGAAAGTTCCAACGTCATGTTCTCATCGGAAACTCGAGTGTTGTAGACGGACGCCATTATACCTCCGTGACGTGCCAGTTCCGCCTACGCGCAAGCAAAATATTTCAGTAAATAAATGTGTGTGTGTGTGTGTGTGTTTACATAGTTTCTGTACGTGCAAAGTAATTTAATTATTTTGGAAATGTTTTGAAAACATATATAACATCTTCAATATTTCTTCTTACACTTAGTATATCCTTTTTGTTTTTGATATGCTTGGATGTGAAAATAAAAATATTTGCAATATTAATACAAATTTTATTTATACGTATATGTAAGTGAAATTTGTTAATTTAGAAAAATACTCACTTTATGCTTATCTCTTTCGTTGCAAGTCAGAGCTCCAAAATTTTGATTTAAAATATAATGTTGTATTATTTTGGTTTTTTTCTGCACCTCTTCGACCAACGCCTGTGTATGTTCTTCTAAAAAATCTAATTTTTCGGCTCTCTTCACATTTATCTTTTGCAACTCTATAATACGATTCATCAGTACTTGTTTGCTAGGTTCTATTGACTGAATGTGGTCGCTGTTAGCGTTGTTATCTGATAAGGCACCGTTCGTTATATCGCCTAAAAAACAAAATAAGAAAAATAAAACAGTTAGTCTCTGTTAAAACAAATGCGCGAGCAAAACAATTTTACACATTCGTCAAAACCTGTATTTAAAGAAGTATTAGACCCGGTCCGGGATGTAACATCCAACGAGTCACTGGGAGACGCGGTTTCGAACATTTCTAATTTTCTGCGACACTGTTGCAACTCCCGCGTCATCTCCTTTATGGAAGTCTGATGCTTTCGTTTCAAAACCGCGTTTTCGCCCTGACTATCCTCCAATTTCTGAGCGAAATTCTGCGCCAGTTGCGTCTGTTCGGCAACGTGTTTCGCCAAAATCTCGCACTCTTCCCGTCTCTTCTTTCGTTCTTGCATCAGATCCTCTTCCAGAATTTTAATTTTGTTAGTCAACTCGTTGATGCGATCGCGCAAAGGACCGTGCTCCGATTCGAGATTATCTGCCTTCGCCCGGATCGCAGTGAATTCAGACTGGATAAGCACGTTCTTGTCGGTCAATTTCTGCGTGAAGTCCAGCATATCCGCTTCCTTCCGACGGCACGCTTGCATGTCGGATTGCAGTTCTTCGTTGCTCAATCTTAACTGCCGCGCTTCAGCCTCGATCGACGCCATACGCTCTTCTTTTCTGCGCGAACATAAAATAAATATTACCGATTGAAATCGATCATGTTTTTTTTTTTTCATGTTTGTCTTTTTTTGTTTTCCTTATTACATTATTACTTACTGTTGCAATTGAAGTTTTAACGTTTCCAACTGAGAGACCTTGTTCAGTAATTCGGAAATTTGTTCCTGACGCTGATTCGCAATAATTTTCAAATTGTCCAAATCGTCTTCGTTGTTCAATCGAGCTTTCTCGGATTCTTGAAGTCTCGAACTCAGTTTCTTATTTTCGTCGATCAAAGTTTGCTGTTTGGATTTCAGTGTTTCCAGTTCTTTTTGCAACTGAAGTCTAAGCGTTTCCTTATCTTCCGTGACCGATCTCTCTAGAATCAAACGCGCCTGATGCTCCTTCAACTGCTGATCCAAAGTCACGGCTTTGTTTTCCTCGGACTGCTGGAATTTGCGAAACGATTCTTGCGTCTCGCGACGTATTTGATCGCACTCCTCCTTCATATTATTTATTTTCATCTGCAACACATATCTAAATAACATTTACATTCTTTGTTAGAACTTTTGTTAACTAAGCCGTTAATCAAAACGTCCAGGATTTTTACAAAAGATAAGTTTGCAACAAAGTTTTCGTCTTATGTGAACTAAACGCGCGAAAAAAAACAAACTTGCGCCGTATTCCACTTTACCAAAGCTTTGTCCAATTTTTGTTGAGTTTCTTTCTGCGTCTCCATTTCCGTTTTAAGTTTGGTTTGCGTCCATTTCAATTTAACTTCCTTCGCTTTAACGTCCTCCTTCAGTCTTTCGATCTCTTTCTGAAGTTCACCGGTTTCCCGACACTTTCCGTCCAATATGTTGCAAATTCTCGCTCGCTCGCCCTGCGACTGGCGCAACTTGTTCTGCAGCAATTCCTGATCCTTCAATAGTTCCTTTATTCTACGCTCCGCGCAATCTTTTGCTCTATAACGCACACACACATCGACAAATTAAAACTCTATCGCGCGCGCAAATATAAATCGTATAAATTGTACAACATTTAAATTTTTTCTCACAACAACGTACCTGTTCGCCTCGATCAACCGTTCCTCGCCAATCGCGTATTTCATAACCATGTTCTCCTTCTCCTTGTTAACGGCAATACAGTCTTTCTTCAAAGCTTCCTGAACGCTCAACGACTCGTCCAAATCGGCCGTCAGTTTGTTCACAGTTTTCTCTAAATGTTCTATCTGCGAAACAAACGTGTCCGTGTTCGTTTGAACTTCTTGGAATGATTTGTTCGCTAAATGGCACTCCTCTAAGTCTTTGATTCTGTCTAGCAGTTTCGAATGTTTAAGTCTTAAACTAGAATAATCCTCTAACAACGCGAGATATAACGGATGATCTAACGAGTCGCGTTTTAAACTATTTAAATCCAACGACGCATCGTCTCTATGTACATTCTTACGCAACTTTTCCGTTTGCGTTACGTTAATTTTATTTTCCTCACAATTCTCCAACGTATCTCCGTTCTGTATTCGCGCTTGTTCGTTCGCAACATCGTAATTTAATCTATTCACGTCGTTCTTCTCGAAAATATCGTTTCTCTTCTCATTTAACACCGTTGTATTCTTGTTATTCTCTAGCACCTGTTGTTCTTCGCATTCCTTAGAAGCGTCTCGTATATCTTTCTCTCTCGCACATACCGACGGCATTGTTTCATTCTCCGCATTGATTAACAGCACGTCCGATTTATTCTCGTCTTGTTTCTCTGCACAACTTCCGTTCAGAGCGAGACTCGAATTCGACAAATCCATATCTGATATCACGTCTTTGGAAGCAGATTTGTTGTTGATATAAAATCTCGCCGCGTCTGATTCAACCGATCTCGACGGATGATTATACCTCATAGCCAGATGTTGCGGCAGCAGAGTTCTCTCCATGATGTTTGTTGATTTTTCGGTGATGAAGTTTAAAAAATTGCGACTTTTGTTTATGAGATGAACATTCGACTGCATTATGTTAATCGGATTTGCCAGAAGAGACATTTTCACAAGTTTGTTGTCATCCGCCAACGTTGGTCGAGACGTTAAATTATTATTTCGCACGTGAGTGCTCAACGACAGATTCGAATGCGGTTTGTTCTCCTTGAACTGACGCCTTTCTAGATTGTTCTCGCTCAAGATTTTTTTCTTACCTATCTGTGATGATTGCAAATCTATTTTGTCCTCGCAAGATTGGTCCGCTCTCGGTGCGCTGCTTTCCACGATCGCTTCTTTGGAATAATTTTCATTTCGGTTTTCTTCTGGCAAATTATTTTTACGGGTATCGCTAATTACTTTGTTAATGAAAGAATCGTTTGCCCCATTCGATTGATTGAATAACAACGTATCCTCCTCGTCAGCGCGGGTTGTTGCTGAATTTGTGTTCTTATGTACATCGTTTTGAAAATTATCAGTTTCATTTCTAAGTATGTTTGAATCCACGGATGATAATGATATCATAGATAAAGAAACGCTTCTGTTATGAGAGATCACCGAATCACGATGAGATTTGTTCTCGCTTGGAAGATAGCTATCGCTGCTAGAAAACTGACTCTTTTGCAGTTTTGTATTCGGGATGTCAACGGATTCGCAAGCACCAAAGAGCAACGAATTAACGTCATCCGTCATTAGTTCCATGTCGTTTTTCTCATTTTTACTTTCAACCGTGTAGATCTGTTTGCTTTGAAAATTATCATCTTGCTCTGATATTCCTAGTTGGTAAATAAATTTACACATTAATTCTTACAATATGGCGCGAGTAATATTTATAAATTAAATTTTACAGAGAACATTTTCTAACAACATAAAAAGTAGAAAAACACTGTTTTTAACACATTCGCGCGTTTATACACGTATAAAATAAATATTTGCCACATACACAAACAATTCGATCTTCTTTTTAAAAAAAAAACAGCTGTACAACAATCACGTGTGTACCAAAAAATAAAATACACGACATGTGTTTCTAAATTTTACGTGTTTAAAGTGTTTCTTTGCGAAAAAAAAAAATCAAAGTCTTTTATCTTATAGTTGGTAAAATATAATTTTGTTAAATACCAGAAAACTGTGATTTTTCGTCCATCACAAATGAAGAAGCCTCGCCGAATATGCGAAATTGTGATAATTTGTTTTTTTTTTATCCCATCATTTTGTGCTTTTGGAAGTGGAAAATTAACGGTATTGGGATTGTCCACTGATTTCTGACAACGTGAAGAACGATGCGCAACATTCCAGGTTTTCTATTATCTGTACATATGTAATTAAAAAAGTAACCTCAACAACAAGAACAGATAAGCAAGTCTTATCCGCATCTGTCAATAGTGTCAATGCCGTCGCGCGATACGCGGTGTTCGCTACACTATAGTGTCCTTAGAATGCAGACTTCTTTTTATCGGTCCACGTGATTGGTTTCACTCCTCAAAATGGCGGTAACCAATCAAAGTGCAGCGAAAACGCACATACATTCAAAAGAATATTAAAAGTAAGTTTATTAAAAAAAACATATAAGATTAAGTTTGCGCCATATTTATTGCAAACATTTATTATTGTAACAATGTTGTTTATAAAAATTATAAAAATTATATACAGCGTTTTGTCGACGAAATCAATGTGACTCGCAAACCTGTCGAAATTTTTTAACACAACGGATTTGGTAAGTTCGAGATTTCGAGTCGGAATTTTAACACGCCGACGTGTACTTGGCATTGGAATAATAACGTGTTGTATTAACGATTGCAAAAAGTCGCTCACCGCTTTACGACGGAAAAACAGCGGTCTCATAATTTCCATTACGGGAAGAGATTGAATGTATGTCCCATGTTTTTTCAGGAGTCCTTGGAAAAGTAATAATAGATGCTAATTGTTAGTGCCAAAACCGCGAGTATGCACATCATCTTTTACATACAATAATTGGGTGATAAACGATAACTCGCGAGCGTATTAAAAAATCTGTTTTTTCGTGAATATACGAGTTAAAGTACAGAGAGCACGACAAATGTTGACGTTATATCACACGCGAGACTAAGACGAACTGTTGTCGATACCGCCCCAGCAAACACAAAGTAACAATAACGTAACGTTAATGTTATAATTTCCCACTCAACAATGTAACTGCCACGTACAAGGCATGTTACATTGCAGTTACATCGTTGAGTGGGAAATTATAACATTAATGTTACGTTACTGTTACTTTGTGTTTGCTGGGGCGATCTTATCTCACTTATATCGTCACTCCCTACGTATAATTACATATAAGTGTCACATATGGGATTTTCAGTTTATTGCATGGTGACACTCAGAAAGTCATGTTCTTTGTGGTCACCAAGCATTAAAAAAAAATATTCACAAGTAAGGTAAAAATTTAAAACCGAAAGATCCCTTAACTAGGGAAACTATATGAAGCTTCAAACTTTTAAACTGCTCTCTTCTAAAATTTGAGTTTTGGAGTTACGGGATTATACGTGAAGGGAGTGACGATGTATCTCAGATAGCCAAATGTGAAAACTCAATATAAAGCAAATCATTGTATAGATTAAGTTGCTCGCCAATTGCTGTTGTGTTGTTGTTTTTTATTTAACGCAACGAAAATGTTTTTGTCAATTCAGTATCAATACGCTGAGTTTTATTATCAATCAATTGTTGTAGCCAATGTTTAGGACATGCGAGTCAGCAATATGAGTGAGCAATATATGAGCAATAATTTTTATTCACAAGTTGAGAAAAATAATATAAGTTTATTTGCCGATGAGTTGTTGAGAACTTGCTGTTATTATAATTTTGAAAACTGTTGTTGGCAAGAACATACTGAAAAGAGGATACACCCTTTTGTTACTTTTAAGACCCTACAACTTTTATCTGAAACACTTTTTCACAAAGTACCTAGTTTTCGAGATTTTTCGCGGTACTGGTACTTTTTACACACCCTGTATATACTAAATAACTCATGTAATATGTAATACTTTTTTTATCTTTTTAATCATTACTTAAAGTCGATAATATTTGATCGATAAATTTGAGCGAGTGATTTGAATGTCAATTAAAGTGCCAAGCTAGAAATCTTAAGCAACTTGTGCAGCTGCATCTAGAATGAGATATATAAATGGATTTTTTTACTGCTTTAATTTAATTGTTACTTTGTGATACGCGTTGCAGAGTAGTCCTCGAATGTTGTAAATATTTTCAAATGATTCCGGTTGGACGTTATACGCCGAGTCAACTGCTTTTGCATAGATTTTAGTCTCCTTCGTATTCTTCGCGACGGGAAGTTCCACTTTCCACAATGTCCAACTCCAGTAACGACCTTGTTTCGCCTGAAGATCTTCCGTTAAGTCTGCCGTGTGCCAAGTCTTGCCTTTAAACGCGCAACGTTTCGTTTTAAAAAATCATAAGAAAAAAGAAAAAGTCGCGCTGCGCGAAAGGAAGCGTGTAACAATTGAAACGTAAATTATTTATTTCTTTTTTCTCACCTTCATCATTTGTCACATCCACGCGAATTATCTTCCGACCACCGCCAGACCACGCGTAACCTATTTATTTATTTATTTTTTTATTAAAGTTTTTTTAATAATTCTTTTCGAATATTTTTTACGCAAATGTTAAAACCACATTAATTGTACAATTTTTACCTTTTACTTCTATTTTGCCATTTTTGACTTCAACCGTGTCTGAATTCTGCGGATCACATATTGCTGAAATTACGGGCATTTCTTGTATAGCGGGCGATTTACTGAAGTCCACGTTGTCCCAAGTCGTGCTCGGTGAAAACCCCTTGTAATCGCCCTGTTGCCACTGCGACTGACTTTCTTGTTTCGAAACGGAGATTTTACCTTTCGGGTGGAGAAATATTTCGATATGTAAGCTCATATATCTCTCGGTAATTTATATATATATATATATATATATATATATAAATATTATAATATAT